CGAGGGCATTTTCCACACTTTCGGATGGTTTTACGCATAAATTACCGCGGCCTCCCCAAAGGTGGAAACATTCGCGCTCGGTTAAATTGAACCCGTAATTCGGCGACCTGTATTAGTATTAATATGCAGGAAACCATGCAACTGGCGCGGCTCGATGAGATTCGCCCAATGAATTCACCGCAAAATGAGTTCCATGGACTAACCGGATCCAGAATGTATGTTATCAACGTGATAAACGCTCCGTAGAAATTCTCTGCGACGTTAAAAAAAATATATGATAATTTTATATCACTTTTCTTGGATGTTCTATTCGGATATGGTGTACAAATTTATTAATTTGTTTCTCACTACTAAGACATCAAATTTGTAATTTTACTACAACCTTAAGTACCGAAGGCGTATGCATTTTTTTAATAGTGTGGAGATCGCCGAAACATTGCCACAATTTCAGGCCGGATGTCGTTTACCGAATTGTATTTTCGTTCAGCGTATGAAATCAATGGCAGTGGGTTCTCGAAGATGGAAGTCGTTTTCCCTGATTTCTAAGTGAATGGCCGCGAGGGGCCCCTCGCGGTGAATTTCCTCGCCCACGGCTTGACTCGCCTTTCGTCGCGCGAGTACTTGTCGCGGTATGTCAAAAAGTCCGGCCCCGACTCCGTGCCGCAACATATCGAGTAGCAATGCAAACACCTGAGAACCGGACTCGCCTGTTGGGTTTGGCGGGGATCCACGAGTGATATTATCGCCCTGGTGGCAGTTCCTTCTCTCGCGGGTACCTGCCTTCTATACACCGGATGGCCTAATACTCCGTGCCCGGCCGGGCCCTAAAGCGACATCGCACAAATCTCGACTGCGCCGCAAATGAGGCTTGTTTTGGATCGCTTCCATAATGCTCCGCCTATGCGTTCCACCTCGGGATTTTGGCACGCACTCGCTCGTATCGCTCCTATCGCTCGGCTCGCGCGTGCACACCTATAGAGAGCACCTCGGAGGAGTTGACTCACGACGAGCTTTCCGAGTCGCCCAACCTGCAATCGGGGGCCATTTTCTCCCCTCCGGACGTTCCCGTTCCCGTTCCCAGACTTCTAAATTCGATTTCGACCATCTAGCCCAGAATTGCCGAGAACCCCAGGCGAGGGGATTTTTCTAGGATTTTTTATCCCCCGATCGGGGATATCGCGACCCTCCGTCCTTTGCTCGCGAATGCGCGTACTCGCGTCCGCTCGTCTATTTTCAGAATATGGGCCAATTAATTCCGCTACATTTTGGGTGCGCCCGGAGCGAAAAACGAAAGCCTCCCGAATCCCATACGCAAATAGACGCGGGGATAAATGTCCGCATCGCGAGTCTCTGATGCCGGCCACGAGCCTCGTTATAAATGTGTATCATTTAATAGCGAGCATGTGTACCGTATCACGGCGTCTCCGTGCTCGACACCTTGCTCTCGCTATTTCCCGATGCCCGCCTTAAAGGAAGGATATCTAGGCCCGACTTAAGGCGGTACGAAAGGCGCCGAGAAATTTCATCGACGATGAATGAAAATTCCGTCGCGTAGTCTCTCAATGCGAAAGAAAAAAAAAATATTGGGAATAAAAACCGCATAGATTGAGGGAGGAGGGTATACCGTCATTTTTTAGATCATACCAAATTGTCCTATCGTTTCAGTTCGACTTTACTAGAGTTAAGGGAACCGAAGTTAGCAATACTGGTCCCAGGGTATGCGAATCTGCAAGACGGGAGTAATGGCGATTTCATATGCCGCAAACCATCGCGGGAGCTGTCTCCTCTCCGTCCGTCATTTCTTGTAAGGTTAAATAGAGTGTTACAGAAGAGAAGCCAACGCGTCGAGGACGGAGACGATCATAACTCCGTTCGGCCAGGCAGGATATTAATGAATATCATTTCCGGCACGCCGCTTCCACCCAAACCGACGAGAGATCGAGCGTCCCTCTTTCGCGCCGTCGCCTTTCTTCCTCTAACCACTGCCTACGGACTCCTGGATGCATATTTTAACCCCCGGCAACGCTGCATTATGCATCCTGTACGGAAGTGCCGGAAGTGGAGGATGCATCGGGACGCGTCTTCCGTCGATATCAAATATGTACCTTCCGATGCGCAGCGCGCGCCTCCACGTTTCCTCTCAACCCCGGATAGTTATTTCGAAAAAATGATTCGGCGCCTCCTCGAGTCCCGATATGGAATATACTTTACCGTCCCTCCGGCGCTCTCTGGAATTGCCCCGAGAAATAATCTGGGATTTTTTCGCCCCGTACTTCAAAGGACTCGGGTATCCGCGATGGTCGTCTCCTCTCTCTCGCTCTCCCGCGTCCGCCGCTCGCTCCGTCCTCCTCCATCCTACGTTGAGGTGGGTCGGACTCGGCCGGACTCGTCTCCCGTGTCGGCGTTACCGGAGAGCGATCGATCAACGTTTAACGCCGAGAACGCGGCCGTTAAGTGGCCGAGTCCGTCGCCGTTAAACGCTCTTACCCCGGCCGACGAGTTGACGTTACGTGACGGACAGCTAACGAGTTCCGACACCGGGGGTTGACGTCTTCGGATAATTGCCGAATCGCGATTGGCGCCGACGTGGCCCTCCTCGCCACGGAGCTCGGGTCGCGTTTTGCGAGAGACGTCGACTCGAATTCCGGGATCCGCGACTTGACGAGGGAATTCTCGTCCGGACGACGACTCAAACTAACCGAGGAAACGAATTCGGACGTCTTCGTCGGCATTCCTTCCGCCGTCAGGCCGAGGCTTGACTGCTCCATTCGCGGGCACGTCCCGGAGTGACCTCGCCGAAACTCCCCTAAATCCCGAAAATTCTTCTCGGCGAGACCCCCCGGGGCGCAAAAAGTGACCCGGTGGAGGAAGTTAAACGCGCGCCCTGTAAATCGCCGGCGGGCTAGTTTTCGGGTAATTTACCGGGTCCTCCGCGAAAGGGGTCCTTGCAGCAAACGGAAACACTCCGAGGACCCTGAAGTGCGGAATTTGCATATTTGCATAACAAATGGAGGCGCGTGGAGGGTACCTCTGAGTCCTGAATATCGCGTACCTAGCCCGTAATTACCCCTGTTCGTTATCCCCGATCGCGTTCAATCTCCAGTCAACGAGCTCCGCCTGATAACGATTCACCTATCCCGTTGATTACTCCGCGACGAGGACCATCGCCGTCGTTTTCACGGGAATACGTCTTCAACCCTTTGAATAGGGAGTTCTCTCGACATATGGACGAAATTCATCAGTGCGTGCTCGCTATATTGGACCAAATGTCGAACTCCTTCAGTCGCCTTTAGTAGTAAAGGGTTGAATTTGCTCCTGTATCGGGGGCATTACAAAAAGTTCCGTAATAACGAAACTGGGGGATGCAGTTTTGCGTTGCATCTCAATAATTATCCTTTACTTCGGTCCATTGAGGTCCTTTCGTATCAGATTAATTCTGCCTCCAGGTTTTCGGGACTGCCGGATTTCGTTTCAAGTACAAAGCGGCCGGCGTAGTGGCCAACAAGATGTACAAATTAGAAGAAGTCGGGGTGATAGACCGCCGGCCTAATGAATAGCGTGATAAGTGATCACTTGCAGGACCCCGTGTAGGTACAACGCGTAATGAGAGATCGGAACCCGTAACATAAAGCAAGCCCGGAAACAAATCATGCGGTTATCCGGGCATCGCGCAGTGCCAAGAATAACGACTTCAAAGCTTTGAAGCTCCGCGTGCTGCCTCGTAATGCGGATTCGTACAAGAGGTCCGGGCAGGGGGAAAAATGAAAGACAAAAAGGGAGGGGGAGGATATCCTCTCCGACGCTTTCGGATATCCTCCCGAGTAATCCCGGGGGCTTTCGCGTTTCGGGTTTACTGCCAATAACCGGAACTCCATCGAGCAGCCGAGTCGATACTTGCGCGGAAGGACGAATTTCGAAATTCCCTTCGAAGGGAAAAAAAAACCACGGGTTTGTCTCTCGCAAAATGCAGACAAATAAATATAAACGTCGGTTACATGGCGCGCCAGCTTGTGTTATCACTTGGATATCCAAAATGGGGTTACCACCAAAACGGGGAATATATGAAATTTATTTCATCGACGTCGATTTAATTTCTCGGCACCTTTCGCATCACATTGATCCCGAGTGAAGAATTAATACCCGTATTTTCATTTAAATAAATTTAGATTTCGAACGCGACACGCCGTAGCGTGATAATAATTTCCCGTCCCCGGAAGAGGGATGTAAATTTTCTCCGGGATATCTGTAGGCATTACTTGAAATAATGCAAAGGAAATATATTCGGTCCATCTCGGTAGACATTTCCCTTCATCGTGACTGCGGGGAAAATGTAGCGCAACCCTTTCCGAATGTAGATACACGTCGGAATAGAATTCCCAACTTCCAGACTACACTTGCAAAGCGGGTACTTTACGCGCCTTCTTCATTGAATATTCATGATTTATGTTAATGCCGGCTGTCAAGATATACTTTAAAGCAGAGTTTCACATTCGGGTCGATTTAAGGCTAGATTGGCTCGTTGTCGCGGCCCTCCCCCTAGGCGAAGTTTGATTAATAAATTAGAACCAACGAGTGCCGCCGGCCCAATCCAACCCTTTCTTTGGCAACTTTTTCTTATCGTATAAGCTTAAGAAAAATGGAGAAGCTCTCGGAATTCTTGGAAAAACTCGTCGAAGCGAAGCAATCGACCCCTTAGAGGTTGGCCGGGAAATACTCGACACTCCACCTCTTTGAATATTCATGTTCCGGGGCAGAACTCCGTGCTTTACGTGGCAGATGCCGCGAATCGACGTCTTTTGACCTTATCGCCTACGAAATGGGGGGGAAATTTGCTTTTCCCAACAAATTCGCATCCCTCTTTCGCTTGTCAGCCGGGGGAAAAGAAAAATTAGCAAACCGAGCTGCCGGCCGCGGAGGCTTTTTCGACCTCGTTGAATATGCATACGCAGAGTTTCGAAAAAGGAAGTCCCTTAAAAATTTCTCTCTCCTTTCTGTTCCAGGATTCGACCAGACGGAAACTACGGCCGCGCAAAACGCGGGAAGCAGTCTGGATTGTTTGAGCATGATCGTCCAGAGCATCAGCGGCCCTCCACCCTCACCGAATCAAGTTCACTACCCGACCAGTCATTAATGTCACCGATTAATCACCTCAGGATTTAAGGAACGGCCTCGTGGTTCGGAGGAAAAAAAAATGCCATCCGCGAAGAGATTCGAGAACGCGCGTCGAAAATTCCGAAAAAACGAGGACATTTTCGCGAGTCGCCTTCAACCGAAATTTCCGCACCGGATGCTTTTCGAACGTCGACCAATGGACGCGACTTCGCAACAATGCAAAGTTTCTCATGCGAATCTATTCGTCTGCGAAAAAAAAAAAAAATTCCTATGAATTCGAGAATCGACCCCGACGCATTTTCTTAATTTCGTCAATATTTTCTTTTTGCGAGAGGATGCCCGAAAAAATTCATCTTTAACTAGCTTGTACGGAGTATTCAAGATGGCACCTAGTTAGCGACTTGGCCATAGATTTAGAGAGCCTGGGCGAAATGGACGCGCCTTCGTTTTCGCATTCGGCTTATGAACCAAAACGCTACCGGACGGATTGGTGTTTAGGGAGACATCGCGGCTTAGAATAGGTAATGCACACGTGGCAATGTGATGTACAGTGCCGCGGTGTAATTTGCAATTCGATGTGCCCGGACCGAGTAGAATTCTGCCGATTGGTCGTACCTCGGCTGTGTCGCGACCAACTTGAGCATTATTTAAGAGCGACAAGTCCGCATCGTTTTCGCCGCTGCATCACTGTATCATATTTCGCTCGACCGACTTGTATGTACATATATGGAATGATATGACAATAAAAAGAAATTTAATATCTTAAGCCTCTCTCCACATATTATTCCCTAGCACCTAACCCGCCCTGTTAAAAAAAGAATTCATAAGATCCGTCCACCCTTAGTACGTAAATTTGTAGTAAAATTATAAATTCGATGCCTTAATAAAACTTGCACCAGAAATGTTAGAAAATTATATAGTATTTCTTCTCAACAGGGCGAAGACCCTCCTTCACCGTCCGACTCCTGCGAGCAGAGTGATAAAAAAATGATGTGTAAAAAAGTATATAGCAAAAATCAGGGCTCAAACGGTGCCGTAAATATGAAACAAGGGTGAAGCATCGCCCCGATTGGGAGTAAAGTTTTTTTACAGCGCCCTTCACATATTTTGAAGGGTGCTTCCGGGGTTAGATCACAGGAAATGAGCCGGGAAATTGTTTTCCGCGTCTTTCCTATTTTATTCCTCACGAGTCCTGTTTTCGAGGGCAGTTTGGTATTCCAGGGATGAAGACTCTTTACCGAATCGAAAGGGGCATAATCGGTTCGGCTCGATTTAAACGCGTCCATGGTCGCGCCCTCGTAAATTCAGTTTGTAGTCTCGACGAGTCGCGTTTCTGGGTTTGATAAAATAAATAAAGCCGGAGGGTGTGCTTGGCCTTTGTAGTTTTATGTTCCACGGCAAATTGGCTTTACCGCTGTTTGGACAGGCCCGAGGCCCGCGCTTAATAGAAGCTCGCTGCTTACGATCTCTCGCGAACTCTTGATGGTGCCATAGTGGAGAAATCACGACAGCTTCCTGGCGAGGGAAAAGAGGAAGAGTTTTCCACGGCGGAAATGACGCCGAGCAATGCATCGGTGATTTACAAGCTTTCCGCAATAATATGCCCGTACCGCTTCGCTTAGAATTTATGCGGAAATCCTCGCTCGAAAAAAAAATCTCGATTATTAATGTCCCCTTGCAAAACACCATTTCCCGCGGTAATAATTCACCGTGCGAGTCGTGAATCTCGAAACGTTCGAAAAATGCCTCCAAAAGGTACTCCTTGGCCGTCGTAGGTCTCTCAGAAGCGGTATTAAACTTGAATTGAACTCTCGCGATTCTTTCCCAGACGCGGAGAGGGCTCGCACGTGGCTGATGAGTTTCCAGAGTGGTTCCCTATTTGCAACGTAAATCATCGCGTCCGGGGAGAGAATAGGGAGCGCGGGACACGAAACAGGGAACGAGCGTCTTTGTCGGCACGTGCAGACCCGAGGGATGAACTCCGAAAAGCTCCTGTTTAAAAGATGTCCGCTGACGTACGTGAGGTCAGAGAGACCCTACAGGAAGCTGCTAGGCTCCTTGGGGAGTGTTCCCCATTCCGGAAACGGTAGAGGAACGATCGGAAATGGGCCAAAACCTCCGATCATTTGGCAACTGCCATCGATACGCCGCCCTTCCATAATTTCCTACCTAAAGATATCCCCGCGCCTCCACCGCATCCAACCACGTCCAACTCTTGCCATTTTGCCAAAAATTCCCCCGGGGGAAAGGATACCCTGAAGTTTTGCTCATTCTCATTTAATTTGCAACCCATTCGCCTGGTCGGCCCAATTAAAGCTCAGGAAGAAACGGAATTCCGGAGGTTGGATGTGCGTCTCTTTCCCGAGGGTCGTTTTCGAGTGCGCCTTCCTTTTTCAGCTCTTCAAAAACCCGCCTGTGAAAGGACCCTTGGAGCCGACGAGTACACGGTCTGGTTTACGTCCGGGCGGACAAATTTGCGAAACAAATAGTGCCTCGATGGCGGAAACACGCTTCCTGAAAAGCTAAAGGTGTCTAATCGTTTTAACACGCTACCAACCCACCGGCCAACTGGGAACCCGACACCCGGGTGTTTCCTTGAAATTCTATCTCAGGAGGGTTTGTTGGAATTGTCGCCTCTACCGGAACTCCAATACCGCCATTTTGGGCTCTGGAATGGACCTCAAAAATTAATTCTTGCCTGGAGAAAATCGGCACTTCTCTCGTAAATCGGGTTCCGCATTTTTCGCTGTCTGTTTTAAGGCTATATGAAAGTGACCTCTTAGCGGGTTAATTAAAAATGCAAATCGTTTCGGTGTACCAACGTTGAGTGTTACGTAGGTAACCGCAATGGAGTCGGTTGGTGAAGGGAAGTCTTCGTCTCGCCTTAAAGGAAGCAGCTGAGGTCTAATATTAACCAGTAGAGGATCAATGGATTTCCGAATCCGACAGAAGACTGTCTAAAATGTCGTTTCCGGTTTTTTGAATCTTACTTACACGTAGCAGTCAAGTGGGCTTGGGGGAAGATCCGCCTAAGTGGCTCTCGGGTCGTCGAAATGCAGCTTTACGACACTCTTTACCTCCGCAGAGGACATTTCTCGGCCACACACTCGAGAATCTTCACGGCGTCATTTCACAGGGCGTTGTACAACTTTAACAGCCCCTGGCTGTAAAGGAAGGATCACCGTATGAGAGTTGTACACGACCCCGTAAGATGGACTAAAATTACAGCAAAGTACCGTAGAATATTACGGTAAATCAGGAAGAACACTTGAAAAAGGATTCCTCCTTTCCTAAGATACCTTTCCCGAAAGTAGTCGGATTTCCGAAAGAGGCACGTGGGACCCAATTTCCGAGTTTATACGAACCTTTTTCCCATACGAATAGATTCGTATGAAAAATTTGGCATTGTTGCGAAACTGCATTATCGGTCACCATTTAAATGTTGTATACAAAATTGTCAATTTTGCATGCGAAAGGTGATCGAACGAACTCGAAGATCTGAACCCTGGATTTGGTTCGGCTCTAAGCTCGAAATGGAGAGAAATTTATGGAAATCCTGAAATTAAAACTCGGCGACAGAGAACGCGTTCTCGTAAGAAAACAAGGTCTGCTCTTCAGGGGTAACGAGACTCACCCCCTGGAGTCGGAATCCCGAAAGTTTATTAGTATTCCCACTTCCAGAGGGATTTCGGCACGTACTCAAAACACAGGAGTTCCACGATAGCCTCGAGGACCCTCTTTCCGAAATTCGGTTGCATCTGTTCCCATTCGTCAGGAGACGTTCGTTTCGAAAAATTTAGATTCGGGGGATGTCCCGTGAGGGCCCTCCGTCTCCTTCGGCTTGTAAGGGCTGGCAAAGGGAACATCCTCGCTTTTAGATTCGAGATTCCTTCAAGGATCACTGAAGCCGAAACATGCCGGAGGTGTTAGCTTAAACGGCGACTAATTTGCCGCCAGCCCTCCTGACAACTGCTCCTTTTGGCACATTGGTTCCAGGGGTCCAAAGGAGCCCCAGAGGAGGCTCCTATCTCCCCTAGGAATAAATTGATAAATCAATTTTCCGGGCCCCGCCGATAGTTTACTCATTTTTCCCTTTACGGAATTATTCACGAGCTTGGATCTCCAGTATTCATTTACCTCCTAATGGCCGCAGGGAAGCTGCAAGGGGATCAAAGCTGAATTAGTATTTTTAGAGGGCATTAAATTTCGTATAAATTGAATTCGATATCATCTAAATCTCATTCCACCTCGAGAGAGGAGAGCTTTAAGGTCGAATATCGCTCGCCTTCGGTCGTATCGATTTATCAAATATAGCGCGCCAGCTAGGAGGTACGCTTTTCCCATCGGATTTACGGGGAATGTACCGTCCAACTCGAATTTCAAAGGCGTTTCCTCCTGGCCTCTACTTCTCTTTGACTGTCCAAGAACGAGCATTTTCCAGATGCTAGCCACCCAAAGGGCGGAAAGGCCAGGACGATCTGCAGACTTTTGTTAGAGGGATGTTTCACGCCTCGCGTTTCTACAAGTAACAGCAGCGGCTACATGCTTCGAGCTTTTTCTTTGAGACATCGCAGAGGCGCGATCCACTTGTTCGCCATGAGAAAATGTCCGGTGCAAGAGGACCCTCGAGGATCGTAGATCCTCCGAGTCGGATGACCCGAGTCGTCCTGGACAAGAAATTAGACCTCGTCCTCGTCCCGAAATGGGGAACGCAGCCGAAGACATCCAACTTTCCTCCAGAACATAAAATTAAAGTTTTCTTTACATTTTTCCGAGATTTTAAGAACATCCCTGCCTCTCGTCCAGTTTCGAAGACGGACCTCTCGACCATTTCAGAATCGCCGAAGAGATCGATTCGATCCCCGTTTCTCCTCCGGAAGTATAATTCGATAGAGCAGCTTTTACCACGGCAGTTAGGGAAGTTGGAGCAACGCTAATGTTCGCCATTAATTAAACAACTACACACGTGAGGAGGGCGCGGCACGCGAAACCACGTCGGGGGATGCTTTAAATTCCTCCACTTTCCAGCTACTCTCGGCAACCCTTCCGCTTTAATGGCTCATTTGCCGAAGAAAATAAAGCGCCGACCTCGCACCCTGGGCTTCCCTTCGACGCGTGTAGATCCCATCGGCATCGTGTGTTAAAGCCACCGGAAGAGTCACCCCCGATTCCTGAGTGCATCGTTAAGGTCCCCCAAAGGGCTCGTCGGTTTTCCCTTACGAATGTTCTCTCATTGTCAGCCACTTGGAAAAGTTCCCTGAAACCGTCGTTAAGATTTCTTTTTTTTATTAAATGCCATCTGCGAAGGCGAACGAAATGTCCGGGTTTCCGCGTCCTGGTGGCCGCCTGATTGCCGCCGCATTACGCGGAATAAGTTTCTTCTGAAACTCCGGCAGGACATTTAGCCGGGGTTTTCATTATAAATGCGAGGAAGACCTCTGGAAGTCTCCCTCGCTGCGATGAGCCGCGAAAATAAAATCAGCTCCCTCTCCCCGACAGGGCTGAGACGAAGAGAAATAAATATCAGCTGAAAGTGCATTGCAAAAATTGCGAAGATTGAGGAAAAAAGATAATGAAATCGTGAAGTGCCACAAAATGGTCCCACGGACCGAGCCACAAAGAATCCCCCGAATTTCCGACTCTTCCGGTGCGAATGTTAATTTTGACCCAGCGACTCGAATTACGCCCCTCGGGGTAGCAAAACTGCACAGAGGGAGAGAGAATTGTTCTTCTACGCGAATATCAGATGCAGCGTCCAGCCGCGAGCAGTACACAATAAATTAGCCACAATGCACCGGGCGA